AAATGCACTGTAATATTTTTTACCCCAGCCTTTTAGTTAGGAGTGATAAAAAAATACTCCAAATTTAGTACATGGAACATGATTTTTGTTTCCCTGTTACTCAAAAATAACCTAGAAGAATCCAGAAAGAAGAAAAAAAACAAGGAAAAAATAGTATTTTATCATGTAAAAATAAAAGAAAACCACTATTACTAGACCATATTCTCTTTAAATGATATCTTCACATGGGATGTATGAATGAGTTGCTTTATATTATATGGTATAGTCACTAGATATGTTTGCTATATAGAGGGCCAAGTATCTAGTGAACATGGGAGTCAAGAATCAAACAGCAGAAACCTGCTTAAGTCAATAGTTTATTACCATCTTCTTTAATAGTTGCTTCCTAAACTAAAAGATCAGTGATTCCAAGTCTCTTAAGAGCTGCCATACTGGGTTAGACCAACAGTTCATCTAGCCCAGTATCCCATTCCCGATGGTGGCAGAAATGAACGTTCCTGGAAGAGGTGGATAGACTAGAGTGATCGGTTCATTACCGTCCCTGGTATCCACCATCTCAAGACAACAAAATTGTTCCATGGGTGAACACTACTTAAATGAAAGATAGATTGGTTCCTGTCCCCCACCTCCCAACACCACCCATTTCTTCTTAAATGGAGCCAGAAACTAGCTTACAGACATACAATGAAGTTATGCTTCCACATGGACTACAATTTCTAAAAAAGCAAGAAAAAGTATACTTCCCATTTTAAAAAAAAATGTTGCTTCTTCCCCAGACCTGAAGAATGGCACTTTATACTCAAAAACTTGTTTCACAGCTCTCTCAACTATCAAGCTGGCCCAATAAAAGATACTAATCATTTTAAAGAAAAACACAAACCTTGCTTCTCACATAGTTCCTGTCATTTACTGTCAGGTGGTCCAGAATTTTGAGCCAGCAGCCTTAGGGAAGAGGGAATATTATTCTTAATAAATTGCCAGTCCCCAGACACAACTAGTCAGTCCTCTTGGGATTTGATTTCCACAGCCTGCTCAAACTTGAAAATTCAGATTCAAAGAGGAGTTTAATACACCAGCCTATCTGTTCTGAACCTGATTTAGTTAAACAGCTGCTCATTTTTCTGAAACCCAATCCTTGCATCATCTGTTCCTGCACAAAAACAACTCTTATTCTAAGCCAACGATACTTTTCGGATCTGATTCTCCATCGCTAGGGACCTACCAAATTCATAATTGCACGATTTTTGTGGAAACTATGAATTCGAATGGGGTCCACAAAAAAAAATGGTAGGCTCATTGCAAAAAACAAACAAACAAAAAACTTACCTGCAAGCAGAGAAAAAGGTGAGAAGCCATGTAGTCTTGGGTGTGGGAGGTGGGGAGGTGGCAGGAAGGGCGGGGGACCAATGGCAAAAGACGCAGGCAGGGGGGAGGGCAAAGGGCAAAAGTTAGGGTGGGGGAAAGCATGGTGGGCAGGGAGGCTGCACAAGCAGCTGGACTGTGGTCATGGGCAGACAGCCCGAAGACTGAAAGTGGCTGCAACGGGGTCTGCGGACTCCCGGCACAGGTCGTTGCACACGTGCACCTACTGCTGGCAACAAGCTATGCCAGGGTTCTGCAGACCCTGGTGCAGACACATTTAGCCTTCTGGCTGCTCACCACAACCAGCCCAGGACCATGGTTCAGCTTGAGCATGGCCCTAAACTGCAGTTTAATTACCCTGATTAAGTCTGGGGAGCCATTAATCCATGCTTAATAAATGTATGGATTAATGGTTTAAACAGGGTAATTAAGCCATGATTTTGGGTCATCTGGCAATCTGCAGGGAGGGGCAGGACTGCCGGGGCCCCTCAGCCAGAGGCATGGGGGGACCTGTCTCTCACAGCCTACATGGGGATCTATCCATGAAATCAGCTGGCCACCTCCTCATGTTAGGTAGACCCCTTACCCATTGCTCTCCCCTTCTTGCAGTGCAGCTTAGAAAGAGCAGAAGTGACTTGCCTTAAGATGTAAAGAAACATTCATGTCTGATACCTGCCAGCCTCTTACTACACTATATTGTATACCCGAATAAAAGATGTCTAAATCTTGGAAAAGCTTGTCTACATTTATTCCAACCATGCAGCTAGTGCAATAAAAGCTCTCACCCTCAAAAAAACCTTGCCCCTCTCATTATTCCTGGACCATCATTATTACATCACTCTAACACTACCATATCCCCTTCAGTAACTCCCTAAGAAAGTGCTAAATTGCTTTCGAACTGCCCTATTTGACTCAAAGTTATAAAACAGCAGCCACTTTTGGAGGAAAACAAAACTAACTCTCATCATAGAATCATTGCCATGAAAAGAGACAGTAACATCAGGTTACACTTAAAGGTTTTGCAACCTATTAGACTCCCACTTCTCATTACATGCATGAATGTAAGCACTGCAGGTTGCATAAGAGTGCTACCACACATCACAGGTAAAGAACCACTGAACGTAAGTTCCCCGTAATTCTGAAAAAAGGATCAGTGCTAGAATCAAGAAACCAAGATCACCCTTCAAACTATGCTGCTTTCCTGTGGTACCTCTCCCTCAACACCTGCCAACAGCCCCTGGGTAGTTAGCCCTTTGCTTTATAAAGAAAACTGTACAGTCATCCTGAATAAAATGTTCCCACCTCCCCCCTTTCTCCAAATTAAGAGCAAAACAAAACAAAACAGCACAAAACAACTCATCCTGCTTGCTGAGCCTAACAAGCAAATAAATACGAGGGCTGACCATGGCCTCGAGCACAGAATTTATTAATTCTGAGACGACACAGAGTCGTGTGTGGTCCTGCTGTACAGAAAAAGTTTCAGGACTGGAGTCTAAACTCTCAAGAAGGGCAAAATGGGATGTTCTTTCCTAATTCTGTGCCACTTCCTTGATTTTTTTTAAAAGCAAGTAAACAAATGAAAACAAATCATCAAAGCATCCAGCCTGAACCCTGCCAGCTTACAAAGACCAGCAAAAGTTCCCTTCCTCACACATTTCCATGTTAGTAAGCCTCTCCTCACAGCATGCCCCTTGCAATCAAAACACCAGCGTTATTTCGGATCAGGCTGGGAGGGAAAGTGGATTCCAAAGCCAAGTGCTATTCATGCACTAAGTAGTGAGATCACTTGCACCCATCTATATAGTATTGGTTAGCAATACGGAGCTTTTGATCCAATCAGTATTGCTGCAACAGTGGAACAGATGCACATACATAAATGACATTCTTACCTCCTGGCACTATACTCCAGCCAGGATAATTGTCTCCCGATTCCCCTAGCCCCCCAAACACAGTCCCTTAAGAGGGGCAGTTTTGAAACACTTTTGTTTTAACATGGAATCGCTATGTGGAAAAGGCTGAGAACCACTCGTGTAAATGTATTTGACCCACTTTATTATAGTCTTTTTCTAGTCACCCTATCTACTAGTGCTCTGAACAGTCCCGTGGCCGAGCAGCGCATGCATCACACTGACACGTGCCCTGTTAGCCACTGTACCTCTTTCATGTATTTTCCTTGTAATGTCTCAGCATGCGATTTCTTAAATTCTATATATTTCATTCCAATTTGCCTGCTCTCAGTGTTGTTCATCTCCCATGCCCTTCCCTAGGGCAGGGGCTGGAAAGCCGAAAAAGTTGGGCAGGGGCTGGAAAGCTGACAAGGCCGAAAACGTTCTTTGGGTAAATGTGGTATCTTTTATTAGACTAAGTAAACAGTTAAATTGGTCTAATAAAAGATATTGGATTTACCCAAAGAACCTTTTCTGTTTATCTCCTTCGGCCAACAAGGCTACAACCAATGCCCCTAGGACAAGAATGGTGTTTAATGGGGCCCCACTTGCAGGACAGCCTGAGAGCAACTCACAGGGGCATCACTGCCAAACTACTTTGATCCAAAGCTGCAAACTTCCATGAGGAACTTCTCATTTCATTGGAGACTTCAGGAAAGGGGAAGCTTACTTGAGAAAGAAAGAAGAGGGAGGAAGGGGGAATATTCCCTCCCAAACAAGGAAACAACTCTGGCTCTTTCCTGGGAGCTGAGCTGAGAAGGGAGCAAACTTGATTAACCTGAACTTTGTGCCTGGCTTCGACCAACACAGGGTAGCAGAGGGAGGAGGCAAGGCAGAAATCGTACCCATAGCAATGCATGTTTCTTTGGGATCCTGTCACAAGCATTCATGGCTGGGGCAGGTGCTTTAGCAGTCAGAGAACCAAAGGCAGTCAGGGACCTGCCAGGCTTGGAGGGGAGAAGTCATAGTTTCATAGTCCTTCGGAGATCTCGGAGATCTCTGAGATCTGATCTCATGGAAGAAACTGGGGGATTGGAAGACACCCCTGCAAACACCCAGAGACAGGAGACAACCTGCGTGTGTCAAAAAGGGCTAGATCCAGGGGAGAGAGAAAGCACCCCCCACCCAACCTTTATAGCAAAGCGAGGCTGGAAGCGCTGAGCCCTGCCCGCCTTCAGGCAGACCCCAGCCCACCTGCAACGTGTAGGCACCTACAGAGATCTGCTGCGTGTGTGTGTGTGTGTGTGTGTGTGTGTGTGTGTGTGTGTGGCTCCAAGCCCAAGTGTGTGTGTGTGTGGCTCCAAGCCCAAGTGCATGCGTGCGTTTGTGTATGCGGCTCCAAGCCCGAGTGTGCACGCACGAGTGAGAAGGGCTCCACGCCCGCGTGTGTGTGTGTGTGTGTGTGTGTGTGTTGCACGCACCTTTTCTGTACCGGCTTCTTCCTCCTCTTCACGGCGTAGCCGCCCCCCGCGGGCAGCATCGCGGCGCAGCCGGCGC